GCCATCGACATCGAAATAACTTTTTTTACGTAATTCATTTATTTTTTAATATTTATTTGAATAAAGAACTGCAGTTTTATTAAGTATTTTTCTTGACTAGTGTTTTTGTTAGTCCTTGATCCCAGTAAAACAAATTTGTATCCAGACTTAAGCGAATTTGGGTTACACGATTTTCGTAGGACCCACCCATCGCGTAACTTCGGGGTATTACTGTATAACGTTATTATGATACTTAGTGTTTGGTAACCTTTGTAACTTCTCATTAAAGTTTTTGTGATACGGTAAAATTAAGTAAAGTTTATTTTTAGCCTTGTTAGTGCTACAAATAGTTGTAAAGTGGCTTATTTTACGGTTTATGATGTTATTAGCGAATTTAGCGAGATAATTATTGCTAATGCATGTGGCTAATTTGTAATACTTTATTTCGTCGTTAAGAAGTTCGTTACTACAGAGCTTCAGGGTTCTGCTTATTGAAACTGTAACTACAGGTCGTTTATTGTTTAGAGAATTATATGATTTGAAGTTTAGATATTTATTAGTGTTAGTAAGTTTATGATAAACTTTGGTTTTATATCAGTTACCGGAGCTAATTATTAAGGCATCAAGAAATGGTAGAATTTAATTGTTTTTCTTTCAATAGTTAACTCGATATTTTGAGAGAATAGGATGCTGAAGAGTTTCAGTAACTTGTTTTCGTCACCATTCGAATAGATGGCAAAAATATCGTCAATATATCGTTTGGAAATCATTGGAAAGAGTCTGGGATTGTGTCTTCAGCCATGTCTTCGAATACTGTATAGAAATTTCGGCAAGGATAAAGGAAAATGGGTTACCAATGGGTGCTTCTTTGGATTTTTAAAGAAGCTACCATCGGAGGAAAAATAGTGGGCCTGTACCATTCAAAGGTTATTAGCTTTACAATAATGGTAGTACGTTGTTTAAATCACTTATCTTCTTGAAGAAGTTTACGAATTATTTTAGTAGTAAGGTTGACAGGTATGTTAGTAAATAAGTCCTTAACGTCGTAAATGATCATAATGCTACCTTCTAGCTTCCATTTCAGTTCTTTCCAAGGCTCGTGGTAGTTTCTGATTTAAGATAGGTTACTTTCAGTTAAGAGTCTGAGTATTGTAGCGGTCAGTTTGAAAACCTCTGAGGCGAAACAGTTCACATTAAAGATAGTAGGTCTAAAGGGAGTATTAGGATAATCTATTTTATTTAAGCAGTCAGGTGGTTACAGTTGAATTTGAGAGGTGTTTCTATGAAGTTGAAGAACTTGGAGTAAAGGTGGCTTATCCAGAACCACCATGGCATTCTCTTTGTCTGGTTTTTAATTATAATGTTACTGCTTACTTTTAAAGATTTAGCATTCTTTAAATTCTGTTATGGTCAAGTTACGTTTTAGCGGTTTTTGAGTTATCAGGAGTTTAATGTCTTTTATTAAATGTTTTATTATTTTGTCATTAAGTTTACCGGGGACTTGAATATCTGTGTTAGAGGTAGTTATATAAATAAACCGTGTTTAAAGCTGTTTTTCAGTATAACCACCAACGCACGAACGAAATACTTTGTCTCCGTATTAGGTAAGGTGCTAATTTAGCTGAGAGATTGTCCCACCAAAGGTTCCTTGTTTACTTACATGGCAGTTCATTTTATCCTTGACCACATGTAAAGGTGAGTCTCCCGATGCAACGCATGATTACGGACATTGGATGAACTTAGCTTTGAGCTTCTGGACTTTGTACTTTGTTTCAAAATTATTACTTTTACTAACGTTACTGACGCAGTCTGAATGACCAGAGAAGCTGAAATTTAATAAATTCGGTAGTTACATGCTAGCTCAGTATTTCTGGTTTAATGTTCGTACAGTCTCGTGGTATCGTGTTTCGTGGTATTACTTCCACTCCTGCCATATTTCTTAACTTATTTCTTTGATTTTTTAGCAGTTTTTCTCAACCTGTCTCTACCGGTTTGTTCTCCAACGGTTGTCTGTCATCGGAAGCTTGATATTTATTCCGACGCGGCTGCATTTGGCTTTCTGTAAGGCAGTTTTTGTTTTTGAAGTTTAACTCACTCTGTTTTGTCAGCGTATCATATCCCTTACTGTCAGTTGGATTAACGATTCCTTTAAGTCTGTTGCTGTAGCATGTGAAAAAGCACCATCGTTTTTTATTTGCAGAAAAAATGGACGTTGTTCGTAGACTAATAGACACGTACTGACGTTTCGGTTGCATCTCTGAAGGAGAACTTGTTGTCAGTACTGTTGCATCTGTTGTTTTTCAGTTTTCAGTTCAATTCATTTCGTTTATGAGTTTCATTGACAGTCGCCACGAGATTTATCGAATCCTGCAGAGTTCATATCCATTGTCACGATGGAT